TTTCATGTGTATCAGTAGGAATAATACCTATCTCTGCATAAAAAGAAAATTACAGGTACATGTGTTTCACGACTTACAAATATAACACAGAACGTAGATGAGATAATGTATGTCAGTATGGTACGTTCTGTGATTTGACCCACCACCAGATTATGGAAATTAGTAATGCAAATGGTACTGGTAATTTTGGTTTGTCAGTAATTTGGTTCCTCAAAATAACTGGATGAAAAATTCCTATCATAGATGTGTGTGTCTTGAGAGTCAACTCGGATCTTTTGAGAGATAGGATTTTTGGCAAAATCGTATGATCCCTTCATTCTCTTTTAGGCTTTTCTGTGTTTGCTAAATTCATCTTTTTTTTTCTCTTCAATTTAGAGCAAGGGGCTGCCTTAATGGAGGCAATTACTTACAAATAAAGGAGTAATAGATTCCATTATTTGCCTACAGCAGCAAAACTTTTGCTGAACAAAACCTTCAATGGTTTTCAAAAGTAGCGTGGCGCTGTTCAAGAACGACAAATTAAATACTCTTGTATAACACTACAATAAATTAAATATTTTTAACAAAAATGGTCTTCATGAATACTGAATAATGTTCTGTGATACAACAGGTGGATAGCACATATTTAATGGTGGGTGGCCCTTTCTTTGGAGCCTTGCTGTCATGCAACTTTTGCTGTCTTGAGCAATATCGTACTGAGTATGAGTTTTTGGTTGGTACGTACAGTACAAAAAAAGCTGAATAACAATGAAATTTTTAATTTTTCAGTTAAAATTGAACTTTCATTGTTTTTGTCTTTTTGTCGTGTACTTGGGTATCTCAAGAAGCCTTTGTCACCTCTTACTTGGCTGGAGGCTGCATAGTTTTGCTTTCATTTCTGTGTGCAATGGATGTTGGTGGTATAGATGAATCTTCATAATTTTCTGCAAGCAGAAAAACTGAATATTTCAGATTTATTTTGGGATATTTCAAGCGTATTTCTGAAAAAATTCAGGAAAATTGAAGGGCAAAAAACATAGAGGGAACACATGGACATACATAGAGGAAATAATGTGTTGCATCGAAATAGTGTATATTTGAATCATGAGATTATTCTCAAGCAGAATGAAGAGTGCCTGTGAACTATGTATTGAGAAACCAATTTTATTTCATTTTAGGTTACTTTTCATCTTTGTGCTATTTCACGACCTCTTCATTCACTTCCTGGCAAATTTTCAATCCCATTTCCTTGTGGAGATGTACAGGCATAAATCCACTCCCTCTTCATCAAGTTGCCCTGATCCATTGAGCAAATCTGAGAAGGCCCCTTGTTGGATGGGGGGGGGGGGTGCTTTTTAGAAGGACTAAACTATCGAATCTTTAGTTCATTTACTGATGCAAATAAACTTTCTATAAATTGGCAGCAAAAATGTGTGTTTTTCAAATGTAGCTAATCTTGCTTTGTTGGTACTATGATTCATCATTCAACTACTGTACATATTAAAAAGGAAGGGAAGGGTTTTTGGAGCTCATAGCTCATGTGTGCTTCTAGAGAGATTTCTATGAGAAGGGACCGCTTTGACTGCTACTGCTTGGCCACTGCTGGCAACATAACTGCAGGTAATGTCCATGCACTCATTTTTGTCAGTGTGTTTACAGTTTAATCATTTGTAAATAGCTTCATCACTATCTCTTGCAATGTCATCGCCCTACATGATGTTCATGTGCTATCCGACCAGTTAAAGTTCTTAGAGGAACTCCTATATACATACTTCTCCAAAGGTTTTAATGTTTTTTGATTAATTTTTTTAATGAAAATCAAAATTAAAATACTTCTATCAACATAAGCAACACACCCTTCTGTCCTCCTGTGGCTCCATCGTTGCTGTAGGGGAGACTTTACCTGGCCTGCTTTAGCTGCCTGAGAGGCTCCTCTCTGCCAGTTTTCTGTTTCTGTATTATGTTGAGGTACCCCGTAGACCCATTCCAACTTTTAAAGCCAATATGGGGAAGGTTGATCAAGGGAACGGAAGGAAGAAGTTAAAGGACTATTCGGAAAGCCCCATCGTGCCACAACACAAGTAAACTTTCGCTCCCTTAGCGGAAAATGAGCTGTGTCCCTTAGGGCAGAGGAAGGTGAAGTGTTTTTGTCATAATGGCGTCTTCCTGAGTTACCAATTCATATTTACTATTGATATTTCTTGTAAAGTGTCATATGTAAGTTATACATGTAATTTACATAACACATATTAGAGATTCATTTTTGCCTAATTAGTTTTTACTAGACAGGTTTTCAAGCCAATGCATGATTTTATTTACGTATCTTAGATTATTCAAACATTATAAATATGTTTCGTGGCAAATTTGTTTAAAGAATGCATACTTTTTTCATGCATGTTCGCATGTTTTGGTGTTTTTTATGGAGAAATTTATACATAATGCATTTGTGGACTTCTTCATTAATTCTGTGAAATTAGACTTCTATGTGACATATTAAATTCTTGTTATTAAATGTTTTGAAAAATTTGTTGTTAAAATTGATGCACATGCATGTTGAGTACATGTGCTGTGAGTAACAATCGTGAAATAAATTATCAACTCCAAACGATGAGTCGCAATGGATAAAGAAGATCCAGGAAGCCAAAACTCGATACATCTTGTTAACTGACACTGGGAGGGGGAAAAATAACCAAGTACAGTACTGCTTGTGTGGAACAGTGGATTAATGCAATATTTTTAATGTGCGAAGCGCAAAGTGACTCCTTGTAAGGCTTTGCTTGCAACACTTCTCAAGCAATGAATTGGAAACCGTGAATTGTCTGAAGTCAGATGGAAATGTAATTTATTGCAAGTGCTGTGAAATGGAAGGATACTGTAAAAATTGATCAATTACAAAAATTATATCTACCTTCTGGTGGTATTTTCCATGTCAATCTGTTGTAATCGAGTCCATTGTTGCTGCAAAAATTATAGTGTTTGAGATGCTGAAACTCTGAAGTAGATAAAGCAATTTCAGGGAAATAGATCTGCGAAAACTAATACAAAAAAGCTTTAATTTGTTTTGAAGAGATAATAATTAATTTTTGGTATTATAAATAATTTTTTTTCTTGCAGTTTTAAGATATTTGAGTTACAAGAAATTGTTTTATAGAAATTCGTGGATAGATTTTAAATTATTGTAAGAAGTCATTTTTGTATGTTCTTTCTTTTTTCCCCTTTTTTTCTTCTTTTTTTTTTCTTTAGAATTTTATCTCTATTATTTTAAGGTTAATGAAAAATTGAACTTTATTCACAAATTAAAACAAAATGTATTTCATAATTGTTTGTCTTAGAATTTCGTTCCAAAAGTACTAGTAGTTTCGCTGCATTTTTAAAAAAACCTTTTCGTCATGCCAACAAGGAAAAGTAATTCAACAAATTTGCAAGCGTATGTACAGGATATATCTGCATATTAAGGAATCTCAAAGAGCTTTGAAAACCAAAACAGTGAAGAAAGACACGATATATATTAAATGAAATTTTGTAAACTTGCCCACAGTGAGTTAACGATTAGAAACAGCAGATCTACCTCCAGTGTAGTCAGTAAAAATTGTCGACGCCATTAAGATGTCTTTTGAATTTGTGTTTGGAGATATGGGTGTTACTGATAAGAAGAAATTTTATGAAGTGTTAAGTTCAAATCCTAATTTTTTTCAAAATAAAAAACTAAAGGTGCTACACGACAGGACGGCCGCGAACCTGGCATCCTTGAAAACCGGGAATTTGATTTGTGAATCGGAATTTTTCATTATTTTCTGATTTATTCCAACATTTAGCACAAAATGCACACAAATTATCACAAAAAATGTTTCGTAAAAAACGTGCAGTGTCACCCTATTGGCTCGCACGTGCTGCAGCTGGACTTCCTGCCTGGATACTAGCTCTCCGAAGCATCGTCGCCCTGGCAGATGGGCGGAATTCCGCTCTCTGGTTGGAAAACTTCTGTCGCGGAACACCGCCCGCTGGGTGCAAATGCACAAAATCGCGTTTTTGGGCCGGTTTTCAAATTACGACAGAAATTTAAAAAAACATCCAAAACGACGTTGACAGGGAGTTTGATTTTACTTTCTCGTATATGTACATATATACGGAGTAATATTCGTACGCCTTTTTTTCTTTTTTCGGCGTTTCCACTTGTCAGTGGTTGCCTCTTATTTTGCGGTTACAGCCTTCTCTCTCCGACCAAAGGTCTTCGTCCATTCTTCTTTCACGCATGGCTTCCATTACTCCAGTATTCCAGGTTTTGTGAGGCCTTCCTTGTTTTCTCCTTCCTGGAGGAGACCAGTCGAGGACATTCTTGGGCCACCTTGTATCTGACATTCTTCTCAGGTGGCCATAGCATTGTAGCGTTTTACTTTCTAATCTGTCCACCACCGATTCCGATTGCTGCATCCGTTTCCGAATTTTTACGTTTCTAATTTTTTCCATTCTAGAAATTCTCTCCTCCATGGATTAAAATACTTCCAATAATAGTTCGTACAATAACCTTTTTTGTTCTTACTAAATTTCCCGACTCCATAGTACCTCATTCAGCATTCTTATAGCTCCTCTTGCCTGTTTAATGCGGTCATCAATATCCTTTCCACAATTTCCAGACGTATGCAGATTTGTACCCAAATATTTGAACTGTTCAACTAACTTTATCCTTCCTACTCCTTGTACTTCCAAATCAGCACCTTCTCCTCCTACTATCAGATACTCTGTTTTTTTCAGATTTAATTTAAGCCCACCTGTACATACGCCTCTACTATTTTCCGGGTCA